TATTAATTCTGCGAACCCTCTTTCTACTACTGCCATAAAATACATCTCCAGTTCACCACTCAAAAGACCATGCTAGAAACAAAGTAAAATTTAACACGCTCATGAACAATTTCCCCTCACACAAGTGTCCTAAATGGCAAACTATTTACCAGAATTTCCTTTTGAACCTCATGTTCATATATGTGAGCACTGGGTTTTGTCAAGGACAATTGTCAAGTGGACTCCAAGTAACATAAATCACTCATACTTGAAGCATCCATGAAACTTCTGATCTGCACTTCATTTTTGCCAGTACTGCAATTCCTCTGTATTCAGACTTTCGTCCAAACACTTTAGAGCATTACATTTTGGTAACAGAAAAATATTTAAACAATAAACATTTATCATAACGTAAGAAGATAACATCAATAAAACATGAAAGACACAGCATATATTTAGTGACCATTAAGATTTAAATGTAGTAAAGAACACTACTAACAAAATGACTGAAACATAAATAGCCTTTAAAAAGAGTATGCCTTTTGCATCAAGCCTCCTTGTTACCGAGCTTTATCCTATTACATACTCTCACTTCCTCTTTTGTCAGAAACCACGCTGTTTTAAAGTCAAAGGTGCTCTCTAGAAGGAAGAAGGAGGAGCGATGAGTATTTTTAGAGACGTTTTGAGACCTCTGATAATAGCACAGTATCTTTGTAAACATAAAGACAGTTTTTCTCCTAATGTTTGGTCTCCTTCAGCAAGAAAACACTAACCACCACCCTAATTGTTTTAAGTGTAGGCCGAGAAGTTCAACAGTAGGCATTACGTTTGCAGCTTTGATGGGAAAAGTTGTATCCTCAATTTTTAGTGAGATCTGTTATGAAGTATTAAATACATCCACACTGTACTCAAAATTAACAGCAGCAGCTGACTACCCAATTCATTAATAAAAAGAAGGACACTGAAACCACGTTCTACTCTTCCCAATAAGCAGAGTAAGTAAAGTATTGGAACAAACTGCTCCCCTTGTAGACAGAACATGAAAGGTATGCCTACTTCTAAAGCAAACTGGAAGCAAAAAGGGACATCTTCACGGGAAAAGCTGTTTTGTCTTAAAACAACAAGGTGTGCCTTCTGATAACAGTTTCATTTACTAAATCAACATTTAACTTTCCTGTTGAGTACCCCTGTTGAATGTTTAAACATAACAAAACACTTCTCAGTTGTAAATAAAGCAACAATTTCTCTGAGGCAAACTGAGAATGCTGTTTAGAGTTGTTTCAAGTTTAAATGTATATACAGAGGCTCATATGCTTTATTTCCAGCTTTTGTGACCTGTAAGTAGAAAGAACCTAGCTGAAATCTAGTATGGTGAAAGTGTCAACATGTAAAAAAAAAAAAAACCTGACAGAAAAACAACACAAAAAAGCATGGGAATCTTCTGCACACATATGCTATTTTCTCTCATGCCCCAAAAGGCAATCAACTTACCAAATTGAACACAGTTTCAACTATGTCTCTGTTAGACACTTCACCAACTTCCACCAGTCCTGTCAGCACAGCGAATTTCATCTTGATTCCTCGGATGGGGACACCTGGATTCAAAGGCTGCCGCGCACTTCCCCCTTCAGCAGCATTTCCTTCTCTGCCCGCTCCTCCTCCATTATCACCTGTTGACTGAACAACTTGTTTGCCTTCACTCGCCATAGCCAGTTCACTTCAGGTTACGACTTGAAACGCCAGCAGCACGCTCGCCGCTCCGGGAAGAACGAGCGACTCGGGCTCCCGGGAAGGTAACGGGCGGCCCACTCCTTTCCTTCAGCTGCGGCTCTGGGGGAAACCCGCGACCGGCGGGGGAGGCTGGCAGGCAGGAGGGAGGACGCGCCCTCGGAGTCCCAGCTCTCTCCTCAGCAGGAGGCGTCTGTCAGCAGCTCTGTGCCCTACGGCAGGTATTTACGGCCCTGAAGGACAACCCGAGATATTTTTCGATTCGCGGAGAGAGTCAGGCGCTGCCCGTAAGCCCGAGGGTCCCACCTCCAGCCGGTGAACGC